CTTCGCACGTACTGAAGTTCAGGTGCAGCTCTACAACGTTTGGACTTATCCAGTTGTTTCTGGCTTGGTTCTGGCTGCTTTGCTCAGCTCCTTCCCGCTACTGCCCTTGAGGGTGAACCTGCTGTGCTCCTGTGGCAAGATGTTCTGCTCTTGGACTAGCTGGGTGGATCTATCCTCTACACTCTCTGCAGGGATTGTAGCTGCAGGGTCAAACCCCAGGCGTGTATGCCAGGCCTGAGCTGTGCCTGGAGGGGGCAAGGTGAAGTAGGGGGAAGAGGAAGCTCTCCCACACTGTCACCGGACCTGGGTTAGGACTGGGTCTTGGAGTTCCTGGAATGCGGCAGAAATTCCTACTGGGCGGTTGGGGTGGGGGAGGTGCTGCGGAGTGGTGTGGGGCGGCCCAAGAGGGTGGGAGAAGGTCCGGCCCACGCTGTGCCTGGGCTGGGACTGGTCCCGCTGGTGCAGGGTGGCAGGAAGCTCTCCCACACACTCACCGGACCTGGGCTAGGACTCAGGATCAGCAGTCTTAAAAGCATTGTCCTTGGTTGTCTAACTAGATGTATTCATAAAAGTACCATTGTTAAAGTTTCTTAAGGTTCAATATGATCTCAGAATAGAAATAGAGTATTGTAATGCTCCACAATTTATATAAAAAGTATACTTATTAGTCATATTTTTGCCTAGACATGAAATTTTGATATACCACTTTTAATAAATGATAAGAAAACATGTTTGACCTTACCAGTTTAGACCACTTTTCATTGAAAAATTAACTTTATAGTGCTTTGATTATAGTTTATATAAATATGAAACATTTATTCATCAGCATAAAGTACATTTTATTATAAAATTATTTGTTGTGTGTACATTTATTTTGAAAAGGCTTATATAAATTATGATTTAACTACATCAAATAAGCTTATAGAATACTCTGAAAATATTTATTCAGAAGCTCACAAATATAAATTTATATATTTTGTTAAAAACTAATGAATGCATTCTTCAAACACAGGAAAAATTCATTTTGATTTACATTTAGCAACTCAATTTTATTAACTGAAATACTGAACAAATCACTTTGATATTACAAATAATTTTTTCAGTGGATAATGAGTATTGTAAATTAATATCAAATACATGTTTATTAAGTTTTAAAATTTAGAATTTTAGTTCTAATACATTTTTTCATTTAAAATAGGGACAAACTCACAGCAAATCCAAAAACTGTCAAACTGAAAGCAGATACATGGGTACATAGAGCAAGGGCACTGGATTGTTGTGGAAGAATAAACTTGGTTGCCTGTGCAATGTTAGAAACCTCTGAGGTGAGATTGGCTTCATTGGTAGTTTGAATTGCAATATAGACCTGGGTGCCATTTTCTATCATAAAAGATTCTGGTATAAATTCAAAGTGTTCTGTCGAGCCAGCCTCCTTAGGTATCAAACTAGAGGTACTCACTAAAGCGGCGTTGTGAAAGTCTTTTTCAAGCTCCGTGGAACATGTACTTATTCTTATAACGTAACTATCAGCTGGAAAACAAATAGTTGAGCTACGTTAAAAGCATTGAGATACCTTATTGCCACCACATTGTCTCATGTAGAAGGCCAATCAGAAATGCACACTGGAATTTACTTATGGAAATCCAAACTATAATTTTTGTTTCATTACCCCATTTTCTTTAAGAACAGACAGAAAACAGCTTTTTCTGTAGTTATATAATCACAGAAAAATTTAATTCAATATTCTATAGTACTTGTTTTAGCTAGATTTCTTTATTAAAAAAGACAACTATAAAGAGCTGAATCCACATTTCAATTTAGAGCAAGGAATACAAAAATGTTCTAAGACAATAATGGCCCTTATACAACACCTCTATGTTGTTTCTTATTAAATTGAAAGGGAATAACAGGAAGGCAAGTAAGAGAGGTGAAGAAATAAGGACAAAAAGCAGTAGAAGGCAGAGGCTGTACTATGTACTAATTAAATATGTGCTCAAGAGCTAGGCAGACCCTGATTAACATGCTAATTATACTATTTATCTGTGCAACAGAAATTTAACTTATTTCTATCTTTTTCTTTTTTTTTTAGGAAGATCTTTGCCTTTGCCGTATTGGGGATCAAACTCAGGACCTTGAACTTGTCAGGCAGGTGCCTTAAGCCACTGAGCTATATTCCCAGCCCTTCCATCTTTTTTTTAACCTATAAAATAGTCATTCAGTTTCTTTGCCAAATATTTATCAAATGCCTACTCTTGTGAAGAGCACTATATAGGATAATGTATTAAAATTATTTTTCACAAGTTAGTAAGCAATTAATGAATGACATTTTAGTTATTGCATCTGTTATTTTATTAATGAAAATCATGGGTCCACATTTCATTTTGTATTACTTTTTGAAATTTGAAATTTTTGAAATTGACTTTTTGAATTTTGAAATTGAAATTCACTGATATAAAAATGTCTTCTTACATTCTAAAATGTGAAATTAAAAACTTTAATGTGCTTTTTCTGATGTGAAGACTTTTTTATGTTTTCATGAAATTTCAAGGTATTTTGTATGTGGTAAGTAACTTCAATTTAGCAATTTTTTTTAAATTCAGGGGTTCTGCTTCTTATTTATTTATTTTTGTATTTTTAAGGAAGGGCCAACAGGGTGTTCAGGGTCTCTCTACTAGATCGGACTAGTGATGATCCTCCTGTTTACAGCCTCCCAAGAGCTGGGATTATAGGCGTGTGCCACCACGCCCAGTCTCAATCACCATCTCAGCGTGCCTTGGGGGTGGAGCCCGGCATGGCCGGCCTGGGGATGGACCCCTCCCCCCTTCGCCGTGCCTGCTTGCAGGTGCTTTAATCCACTAAGCTATTTGGCCAGCCCTCTGCTTCATATTTTGTTTCTCTATGTATATACATCATCAACCTGTCCTACTATTCTTCACTCAAACCCCCTGCCCCATGTACATAGATAATTACATACATCAATCTCTCACTTTAATTTCAATATTCCATTGTGAAGTTTTGCTTTCTTGGCCTTATCATATTTTTTGGTTCTTGTAATGTGATACCTATGCATATTTTATGTATTGTGCCAGGCCTAGTGAAGGCCCCATTTCTCATGAAGTCTTGATCAAGACTTTAGAATTTTGTCCTGATCACCCTGATGGCTCTCTCCCATGAGCATCTATTGCATGGCATGTAGATTTTCCGATTGCTTTGTAGAAATTCATTTTTCTATTTTTTTTCAAAATTTTATTGATAAACAGATGGCAATGAGACAGTTTCAAATCAAATCGGAAGTACAGTCATTTTTCTATTTTGATGTCATCCTATGATGTGAGGGTAGAGACAATGTTTTTTATAGTACTTTTGAACCTCTGTTGGGCATGTACTTTATCTCTTTAATTGCTTGTTGGTGAACAATACAGTTGATACACAGAATTATGAAGTTAGAGAATCATAAAATGTTGGGATTATATATTCTTGTTTCAGTAATTCTAAGTCTTCTGGTCTAATTTGCATATTTTACAGATATGAAAATTGTATCTTAGGGAATTAAAGTACTTCATTCAGGATTATATAGATTTAATTTTTTTGTTAAAAGAATGCTACTCCTGGGACTTTTGTAATACATTAAAGTAACAGTTCAGCTACTGTTACTTACTCCTATTTGTCACAGAAAAGGGTGATTATGTCGTGATAGGCATTTGTGGTTATATATGGTGAAGCTCATTCTCAGTGTCTCTCAGTAATGCAGCGTACCTTCTGTTAACTCCTATACTCAGCATAAAGAATATTAATTATGAACCCAATCTTGCATTGATGAGTTGGACTTTACTGAATTGAAATTAGATCTAATGTTTAGTGAGGTAGGTTCATTTGTGTCTTTTTCTGTGTTAGTGCTAGTAGTTTTCATTTTATTTGATTCTGCTATAGTTTTTAAAAACATACCATAAAATAATAATGTTTTTTAGAAATGAGCACCATAAGTCACCTACATTGAAGTTCAAAAGGTTTGCTTGTGGTTATTCTATGTTTCCAAGGCTGCTGAAAGATTTTTTTCTGTGTATAATAAAGATAGAAATACAACTTTGAAAATGCTCTATGGTGAATGGAAGACTAAAAAGTATCTTGGTTTTAAAAATGTACAGTAACAGGTTTATATAACCTGTGAGAAAAAAATAGTCTTGCCATGTATGTATATATAATTATATAATAATAATTATTATTATTGCTTTTATTGTCCTACCTAAAGGGAAATGGCAAGATTTTCTTTATTGCATAAGAATATACTCAGTCTATGCAATACTGGAATATGGTAGATATTCAATAAAGAGTGATTAAATTTAGTTATATTTAAAGATGGCAGTGGTTTTAAGTTTTTAAAATTTATTATTAAGAACAATGTATTTCAAGGTCAATGAGATACATTGACCTTGAACTTTCTTTTAACTCCATGGCAAAATTTTTCAACCTAGTGAGAGTCTCTGCATATGAACTTCTCTCTGTGGGACATCTTTACTTGATCTGGCTAAGTGTTATCACTATTCATGACCAAGATAAATGATACTGAACAAGGAAGGCTTTGCAGTTATGCCCCAAGATCTTAACTCTCAACTAGAGGTTTGTGGCTACCTAGGAGCTGCTATATTACTCTATATATACAGCAGCCTGTCTCTTACATTTTATGAAATTATTTATTGGAGGTCTTCTCTACCCAACTAATTTTTGAGAATAATATTGTTTCTATTATTAGTTATGAACACTATTAGGTATCTAATTGTGTTTAAAAATTAACAAAACATCAGTGAATGAATAAAATTATGCAAGTACAGAAATATTTTGAAAAAAATTTTCCTTTGTTAGAAAAGAATGTAACAGAAAGTTATTAATTCAGTTTTCTGGTTACAATTCAGGTCAGGTTACAATTCAATTACTAAACATAGAAATAATTTGTACCTGTTCATTATATCTTGTTGCTTCGGTTTTCACATCTTAAAATAAATGCATAATGGTGTATTGTAGACACTTACAAATGTTATTTAAAATGAGAAAATGGAAAATTTCTAGTGAAAGAAAGCCAATGGGACTTCTTGTAGTATATTTTAAAACTTAATATCAAACTTACCTTTTCCTTTGTCGAGGACATTGCCAGGGGCAGTCCATGAAAGTTGAATAAGATCTCCTTTAAATTTAGCATCAAGGTCTGCAATTGTACTGGGTGGGAACACAGGAGTGTGGTTACCAGTAGGAGGCACTCCTGTCACAGTGAATGACCCTCCAGAGGTCAGTCTGCTGAAGCCTTCCACTTGAGCTTCTTCTTTGACTTCAGGTCTGGGTGCGTTCATTATAATTTTGCCTAACAAACAGACAAATTAATATTGTAGCTTTTCATATTGCCATGTTTATTCCTTGTCTTGTAAGGTGATCTTGCAGCTGTAAAAGGAATAGTGCTAATAGCAAACATTAAAAAAATGAAGTTTTTACTGAAAAAAGGATTTTAATACTTTAAAATTGACAGGACACAGTATGCCATGTTAAAACTCTCACTCTCTTTCAACTTTTCTCTCTATAGTACTTGACTATAAATTTTTTGAGGACAGGAATTGTGGCTTGTTTACCTTGTTGCTCCTATATATGGCACAGTGTTGACAACATAGGAGATGCTCAGCAAATTTTTATTTCATTGAAATGAAATGAACTGAGGGGTATGTGAACAAAACATGGAAACATAGACTGTGGTAGGTCCACTAATAAAAATTCAAGTTTGAAAAATATAGATAATATACTTGTATTCTCTGTAGTACAATATATTTTCAATGTTTGCCACATGCAGTTTGTCTAAATAGGTTATGATTTCTGTTTCAATGCTACTTACCATTTTCAACATAGCCAGGTATATACAGAGCTTCATTCTGTTGTCTTAAACTTAGTCTAGCCATGTTTTCTCTTGCCTGGGCATGAACTTTTAAGCTGTATCTACCATTTCCCTGATAATCTGTAAAGTATCTTGAGTAAATGCCATCATTTTTGACAGTATCAGCACCTAGATATTGAAATGTAATAATTAGTCACCCAGTAATGGTGATGTCAGCAATTTGGAAGGCAGTATAGCAGTACATGAATCTTGGGATGATACAATTTTAGTTCAAAGTCTAATTTATGGTAGGTATTTAATACTAGCTGTTGTTATTATTATCAAAATGCAGAAAGCATAGCTAGCTAGAGGAAAGCACATGTAAAATACCAAACACAAATGAAAATGGAGCCAAATTATACTCTTAACTTCCCTGGAAGCCAGATATGGGGAGTATGTGACTGTAATTCCAGCCTTCTGGAGGTTGAGGCGGGAGGATTGAAAGTTCAAGCCCAGTTTGGGCAATTTAGCAATTTAGTGATATCCCGGTCTCAAAATAAACAAATATTAAAAAGGCCAGGTTAGCAGCTCAATGTGAAGGCTCTAAATTCAATCTATATAGTGCAAACAAAACAGACCTCAACAAAAAAAAAAAGTTCCATGGAAAGCATAAAATAGTTTATGATATTTGAAGAAGACAATTGTTCTTAGGTCTGTGCTTTGTCAAGATAACTAAGTGAAAACTTTAAAAATGTTACCATTAAATGTAATTTACTTTAAAATATGATTAATAGGTCTACGTAAGAAATACTCACTTCTATGTGGGAGGATTTAAACTTCAATAGAAGCAGATGCAGATTCTTATTACCTACTCCGTTGTCCCAGAGGTCCAGTGTTACTTGATTTCCATCTCCAGTTTCTATAGTAGCTGTTACATTGACTCCCAGAACAGGCAAAAACCCTTGACTGACTTGTGCATAGACAATCATTGGACTAGGGTAATGTGCTGAATTTTGACTCATGTGAGCAGTTGCAATTACTGGGAGTGTGGTGGGGCTTTTTGCACGAGTGGTAACTGTCATTGTTAGCAATTGAGAGTAGATATTCTTATTATGAAGACTGTAAGTCCAACTGCCTGTCTGAAAATTTAAAAAAAAAACACTCTGTAAGAACTTTTGTAATATTTTCCTACTCTGAAGTTTGGAATATAAAATTATTTAGATGAAATATAGGAAATAAAGCCATGCTGTTATGTTGAGCTGTGGGGGACTCAGGTCAATAATTTCTGACATTGCCAGTTAAACAGAAGACCCAATGCTATTATGGGCTACTGACTCTTTTAGAATATTTTGCTGAGTTTACACACCTATAATATTCAATAACGGAACTTAGAAAAAATGGGGTATACTGATGAATGTCCATTTTGTATTTGTGTATTCCAAGTGGTTAGGATAGATATATAGTTGCATTCTCTTAATGAATAGAATGATTTGTTCTAATGGTGTTTGTAAATAGGATCACAAGTCCACTTCTTGTACAGCAATTAACCAATAAGAAGAATATATGCAGTGTATTATTTGTTGAAACTGTACTTCCGATTTGATTTGAAACTGTCTCATTGCTATCTGTTTATCAATAAAACTTTGAAAAAAATAAATAAAAAAATAAAATTATTTAGAAAGTTAACAGAACAATCATCATTTTTCCATATTTGATTTTACAAACTAGTAAATAGTATGATTTTATTACTTTATTTGGTTTTTATGAAAGATAATTGCGTGCTGTTTTAACATCAACAAGGTATAAGATACTGTTTTTATTTTTTAGTGTAGGAGATGACTAATAAAATGTAGTGAAAATCAAAGAATAGATCTACCTCTGCAATGCCTGGTATTCGAAGACGGGCAGATCGACTGTTTAGCCTATCTTCTTTGAAGTCTGAGGTCGTATATATTTTTCCTTTTGGATCCTGAAGAATAATCTCTGGCTTTTTTGCTGTCCAGGTGACAACAAAGAAAGTATCATTTCCAATTGCGCTATCCACAGGCACTGTACCATTTACCCATTTATTCTTTGTAACGTTCAAAGCTTTACTTTCCAACTATTATGAATAAAAACACACATAAAATGCACTTGTTATTATAGGTAATGGGATTTCAAAGTTTAGTTAATTCAGAGTAATTTTAAATTTGAAATTTTAATTAAAAATTAAAGGATTTTCCAAATAGTGCATATAATTTTAAAAAGTGAAAGGATACATATTGTTATAGAAAGGGAAACTGAGTAAAGATATTTTTGTTCTGCATACCTGAAATATTTTTAGGCAGAATATTTATTATAGAAAGAAAGGTTAATAATTTGGCCAATAGAAATTTATTACAACTATGAGAAAGTAAGGAATTGTTTTAACAATACTGACCTGAAGAGGCTGCTGAGCAATGCTTCCACTTCTAGATGAAATTCTGCTGAAAGCCTCAATGAGCCCATTTATGTCTTTATAGGCATAAAGACGATGCCCTCCTAAAATAGAGTTTTAAGTGGAAAAAGCATATTTTTGAAGTAATTAATATTCCTTAAAAATCCATGTAGCATGTTTTTAAATTTAAAGATGAATTTCTCAGAATTTCATGAACTTTCAGTTTATCAGTGTCTCAGCTAATCTCATAGTAACTAAAACATTGCTCAAAATAAGTAGGATAAATAAGAAGAAATATTTAAAGAATAATCAAGTTTTATTGTATTTATATCAATCATCAAATGTTAAGGGTGTGCTAATTAGTAAAGCTAAGCCCTGCATAATGTTGTACAGATGAAATTTAAGATAATTCTTAGGAACCAGCAGCTTATTTTCTAATTAGGTAAAAAAAATGCCAAGACAATTAGAGAATGGAAATTTAGAATAAAGTAAAAATTGATTACTTGCTTTTTTAAAATTAATGTTATTGAGAAACAAATAGCAATGAGACAGTTTCAAAAAAGGTTAGTAGGACAGTTACAATAATTAATACATTGCATATCGTTGCCTTCAAAAATTGATTAATTGTACAAAATACATAGTTAACATAGGAGTTAAGGAGTGGAATTTATTTGGTTCTGAGGAGTTAGGAAAGAATAGATTGTAGACAGCAAGCATTAAGAAAAATAACTGCCACCAATAAGATAATCTGTGCATATTTATTGAACTAATAAATGGCAGAAAGGTCACTTGGAAGACTATTGAAGTACCCCAAGCAAGGGAGTTGTGAAGACTGTTAAGAACGTGCTGAGAGGTAGGGAACAGCATGGGATGATGGAAAAAGGCTTGAATTGGTATTCAGGATTCTAACTATGGCCTTGGGGGAAACATTTGTAGTCTTTAGGTTTCCATTTCCTCATCTATAAAACAGAGATGTCCAAACCTTCATTGTAGGATTGAATGGTGTTTTAGAATTAAGTAATAACTTTGAACTTGTTGAGTAACCGTAGGGAAACAATTTTTTGTTTAATGGTATCAACAAAGAGATGAACAATGAATGAAGATAGAAAATATTGAATAACTTCATTTTTTTCCAGACTTAATTCATTTTATTTTTCTTGTGTAAAAACCTTTCATGTTGTAGCTACTGCTGAAGCTTGAGTCCTCGAGACAGAGACTCTGGTGTGGGTTTTCACAAGATGGTCGGTGAATTCCTGATAGGGAGACTTGGTGAACACAGTCTCTTTCCAGAGGTCAGGGGTCAGGTAGCTGTAGGTCTAGGAGGTGGCATCAAAGGTTGCCTTAGCAAAGTTGCCCAAAGTAGCAGTCATCAATACCAGCCATCAGCAGCAGCTTCTTGAGCACAGGGGCTGAGACAATGCCAGTGCCTCTGGGGGCAGGGATCAGACACACCAACCCAGAGCTTCAGCAGCCCATCACCTTGCAAGGAACAGTGTGGGGCTTGCTGATCTTGTTTCCCCAATAGCCTCTCCTCACGGAGACAATGGAGAGCTTGGCCAGGATAATGGCCCCATGAATGGCAGTGGCTACTTCCTTGGAACACATTACACCCAGACCAGCATGACCATTGTAGTCCCCAATGGCGACAAATGCCTTGAACCTGGTACGCTGGCCAGCACAAGTTTGCTTCTGCACAGGCATGATCTTCAGAATTTCATCCTTGAGGGATATGCCCAGGAAAAAATCTTGGACTCCTTGATGGGTAAGGAAAAAAGGTAAATTTCCTCCAGGGACTTGATCTTCATGTCTTTGACCAGACGGCCAGTTTGGTGACAGGAATCTACTCTCTGTCCTCGGCCTTACCACTGCAAGTCCTGCGGCCTCGGCCCTGGCCCCAGCCCCGGCCTCTGTCGCACCTACAACCTTGAAGACCACTGCTAAAGCCTCTGTGGAAGCCGCTTCGGCCTCCCATGCTTGGGCCCCCAGGACCTCTGGCCCCTCCCGCTGTACCAGCGTCATCCACCATTTGGTATTTCCCAGAAAAAGCTTGAATAACTTTAGAAATTGTTACATGAAGAAGTCTAGAGAAAAAGTAAACTAATTTGAAAGACAAAGCACAAATATCAATATTAAATGGGAAATATTTGAGCAGATTTATAGTTTATGGAGAAACAGTACTTGAAATGGGAGAGACTAGAAACTCTATTCCAAAGGTTTACCTGTCATATCTGACAGAGTCTCCAGTTCTTTGGCAGCAGAAGGTCCCAGAGCAATGGTGTGGATAATTGCACCACTTTGTTTGACCTCCTCAAAGCATGAGCTTATCCCAGAATCTTCCCCATCTGTTAGCAATATGATTTCGGAGCCAGATGTACTCTGGTTACTCATGGTAATTACCTAATAGTAAAAAACCAGGTTATTAATTCCAGAAATCCATTTCTGAATAAATGTAAACTAAGAATAAACTTGGTTTTTAGTTTTGGAGAAATCTTTTTTTTTTTATATATTTGGTACAGGTCTATAGGGCCTACAGGATCTCACTACGTAGGTCAGACTCATAGTGATTCCCCTGTTTTCAGCCGCCCAAGTGCTGACATTACAGCCAGGAGCCACCACACCCAATCTCAATCACTGTCTTAGCATGCCCTGGGGGCAGGGCTGGCACAGTATGGCAGGGATCGAACCCAGGTCTCTATAGAGAAGTCTTTAGTCTTATGTAACATAGTAAGTCAAAGAAAACTTTTTGTACTATCATTTCAGACTGAGTTGGCATATGTGAATGAGTGTAATGTATAGGTTTCTAAAGCTGTAGTTTTAATATATATATATTCCTGGTACCCAGAGAGGAAGAATAGACATTTAAAACAATCTGGCACACAGTGAGTCCTCTGTGAATATTAGTTGCTATTATGATCATAGAAGAGTTTTGGGGTAGAAACAAGTGGTATCTGCACCATTCTGAAAGGCTGAAGAGCAAATGGCACCTGTAGTGTCATACCCAAAGGACAATTTGTGAGGTTAAATGATGATGTGCTTTTTAAATGCAACTTCTAGGATTTTCTTGAAAAACTCCACTTTCCATGAAGAAGAAAGTTCATGTACTTATCAATTATTATAATTAAATTTTTTTTCCACTGACCGGGGAGATAGCTCGGTGGTCTAAGCACCTGCCTGGCAAGGATGCAAGATCAATCCTTGGTACTGCATTCTGTGGCTGCCCTAAACCAAGCCAGCCACCAGAACTGGGCTTGTTGGTGCACACCTGTAATCCCAGCTCTGCGGAGGCTGAGATAGGAGGATCACTACAAGTCTGACCTGTGTAGTGATAATCTGTACCAAATAAATAAATAAATAAATAAATAATAAAAAAGATTAAAATTTTTTTTCCACCAAGAATACTAGCTCATCTATTTGCATTAGATACCTAGAGATGAAATTAGAACTCTTCCATTTGTTAAATAGTGTTTAGCCTTTTCAAAACATACACACACAACTCCAACTCCAGGCCTGCGTGTGAGCGGGACCACCCGCTGCTCTCTGGACCCTCATTCCAGCCAGCACCCCTGCCCAGTGTGTGAGTGGAACTTCCTCCATTAGACAAAACTGGTGTGAAACCCTGCTGCAGAACTCCCTGCAGAGAGGCTAGAGGTTAAGACCCACCCAGCTGTCCCAGGAGCAGAACATCTTGCCAGAGTGGCACCGTGGGTTCACTTCCAAGGGCTGCAGCAGGAAGAAGTGGAGGACAGCAGCTAGACCTAAGCCACACCCACCTGGACGAGTTTGAACTTGGTAGATCCAGACCTGGTGCTAAGGTAATAACTCTACCAAAGCTCTACACCAAAGGTCAAAAGACAGTGCTAAACAAAATGACATAAGGAGCAAAATGCATTCCAAGGCTCCAAGCCCACACAGAACAAATGCAGGAGACAATAGCATAGAAGAAATTGGAAATCACACACCTGAAATCTCTGAAATAATAGTGTCTGAAGTAAAGAAATAACTGCAGAAAGGTATAGAGGAAATCAGATCAGAAATAATTTCTGAAGTATAAAAAGAAATAACTATAATGAAAGAAGTACTAAGTACTTCTAAAGAAGACACTGATTAAAAAAATAGAAGAGAATATAAAAATGATGGAATCCTTGAATGAGCACTATAGGAAAGAAATAGAATGCATGAAGCGATTCAAAGTGATATACAGGAAATTAAAACCTCAATCACAAGCTGGCAAAACCATTTGAATGAAAGTGAAAATAGACTTTCAGACCTTGAAGACACCATTGCAGCTAGCAAAAAGGTGAGAAAAGATCTCTTAAAGGGCTGGGGAGATGGTTCAGTACAATAAATGATTCCCTGGCAAGCGCAAGGGCCTGAGTTCAATCCCTGGTTCTGCAAAAACAACAACAACAACAACAACAACCCCACCCCCCAAAAAAACCCCAAAAACCTCTTAAAAACACCTAGGATGCAGGAAAAAAGAATTCAACATCTGCAAGTAAATGCCAAGATGAACAATGTAAGACTAATAGGTATCAATGAGAAAGAAGGAGTCGATACAAATGATATGAAAAGAATATGGGCAGAAGTAATAGCAGAAAACTTCCCAAATATGGGGAAACAATCTGACATTCAGGTAACCTGAAGCATATAGAACTCCAGATAACATCAACCCAATTAAAAACACACCCAGACATAATAATCAAGATCTCAGAAATTCAGCACAGGAACAGTATCCTAAAAGCTGCTAGAGAAAAGAAACATCATATTTAAAGGAAAACCCATCAGAATAACAGCAGATTTCTCTTCACACACGATCAAGTCAAAAAGAGCATGGAGCAAAGTACTTCAAATCATGCAAGAAGGCAAATTCCAACCCAGACTGACATACCCTGAAAAATTTTCTTTCCAGTGTAATGGAGAAGTGAAATACTTCCACAACAAAGAACAACTAAAGAATTTCATGGCAACAAAGCCAACCCTACCCAGACTACTAAAAGATATTCTAGAGAGGGATCAAAATGACAACTCTATGAATGAGAATGGAAAGAACCCACCAAATAGGGTAATGAATTAAACACAGGAGAAAAAGAGGTATAGAACAGCAGCCTTTCAATTATTCTTTTGTATACAGCAGCAAAATATTTCCATCAACATACTCTATAAATGGACTTAGGTATCCTATGGGTCATGATTCTGTCCCGGTCTACAGGGTGGATATCACTCAGTCCCACAAGTGACACCTGGCTGCCAGTAAGCATCATGGACGCTGTCCACATCTACCACATACTAGAACTTTGTGCAATATCCTATCCCCAAACTGTTAAAAGTGCTGGTCATATATTTGCCATTCCAGTATTTTTGTTATGTTTGATTCTTAGTGATTTTTTACTATCATGAAAAGTTTTTGTTAGTTGATATTTTTGTATATATTAACCTAATCGAATACTCTGTGAATATTCTGAATTGATCACAGATTCATATGTATGATACACTACATTCTGGCCTTTTACTTGGACTTACAATTTCATTTTAATTTTTGAATATTATTTTGAAATATTTAACTTAATTTTGAATTAATTAATATTTAATTTTCTGAATATGGTTTAATTTTAATTTTTGTTTTATGATTTATACTGTTTCTTTGACTTACAATCTACTTATAAGACATGGTAAGATATTTTCTCCTAGTATTAGAAACTTTACAAAGTTTATTTCCATTTTCTGTTGACTTTATATTAGTTCTTCCTTATCTTTTGCACACACATACATGCACATACACTCACACACACATATATGAAATAATATGTATGTAACCTTACATAAGATTGATACTGTTTTGTGGAAATCTTCAATGGCCTTTTAGAAGGGTTAAAAAAATAGGTTTGTCTCCATCTCTATAATTATAAAATGTCCACTTAAATTGATGAACTGGAACTTACCCATAACATTAAAATGTTACTAACTTCCCTCTTGAACAGTCCTCTTAAGGGGATTATTATGTACCCATAGAAATTGAGATTATGGGAAGGCTAGAGAAATGGGCAGCTCTTCCACAATATCGCAACCATAAGACCACTAGATCTTTCTCCCCTCACTTATCCACTTCCCAGTGTTGCTTAGTAGCTCAAGAGGACTCCAGTGAAACAAAAGATGTAGAGAAGCTTTCTTTAAACAACAGGTAGGATGGGCCATTGTTTTTCTTCTCCAAAATGATGTGTCTTGATCAGGCCAGAATATTATGAAATGAGGAACCCATGAACTCATGATACTTGTTCAAAGATAAATGGGCACAATTAAAAGCAATAGTATATGAAAAGTGATGTTAAGATTTCAAGTTTTTATTTTACCTGGAATCCTGTTTTGAGTCCACTACAAATTGAAGTTCCACCACCAGCCTCTGGAGGCAATTTTTCAGTGATGTTTAGATAAGCACTGTCATCAGTTAAGTTTATTAGGTTAGTTTGGATTGTAGCATAACTTTCAAATGTGACCATCCCAACCATGGATCCCTTTTCAATAATCTGAATTAAGTACATTTCTGCTGCTTGATTCATTCGAGTGAGGCGAGACACGTCAAGACCATCTTCCTGTAAGAAAAATACATAGGAACACTTCCTGAGACTTCAAATCTTGAAAGACAAGTTGTCATTCATGGGTTATAGATCATGAAGATCAATGATTGTATCTGAAAATTTACTCCATTTAATTAAAAATTAAAAGATTAAAAATCAGTCTTATAAATTGTGAAAGCTTTAAAATTCTGTACTCTTTATTTAGCAGTAAATTAGTAATTTGTTAGGGTGGTAATTACAAATGCATGCAAAGGTGTTCATTGCAGTGTAGTTTTTAATAGTAACAAAATGAAAACCTCCAAAATACCCCACACAGAGATTGTTAGTCTAAACTAAGGTAGGTGCATGTGACAGAATAATTAAAAATTATGGTCATGGAATTGTAATTTACTTGGGGAGTATTTAAGATATCTTATGTAAAAAAACAGATTATAAAGCATATAAAATATAATCACATTTTTTAAAGAAGAGAACAAATACATTAACAGAAATAAAAGAGAGAGATGATATATTCAATGACATAATCATGGATAATTCTTAGTTATGTCTTTGGTCATGTTTTTAGCTAGAACTAAAAGTTAAGGAATAAAAACTGTAACAGTTTTAATGTGATACTTTTATTTTAATATAGTCTAGTAGTTATTTGAAACTATTATGCTGAAATTTACAACAGAAATATATTGTTAGCTCACTAGAGCCAAATCTAAGATAAAGTTATATTTCTATTTAAATACTTAATTTAAGAGAGTTAGCAAAAACTATCTTACATTAGTCATGCTTCCAGATTTATCAAGTACTAAGCAGACTACTCGTGGTTTTGATCTGAGCAGTGAAAATGTAGGATGAAGTGATAGATTTGTTCCTGTCATTGGAGTTGAATTCTGAAAATCAGGGGATTCACTGATTACATCCCATGTGCTTCTGCGATTGCACATTTTGTTTTGTAGATTTGGGGCTTCTTTGTTGTGTGTTTTTGCTGTGCAAAATTCAACCACCTGGAAAAAACAGAACACAATATTGTGATAACTGAGGCATTACCTTCCTTTCCAAATATGTAGCTAGCTGCCATATGTTCCCACAGATTTTATCTTCTGGAGATCCAGAATTACTTGACAATCAAACTCTGTAGCACCCATTTTTCATACTTGAAGGGGTAGAAGCAAGGTAAAACTGTCAACATATCCTGGTAAAGGTTTTGGTGATTCTTTTAGGTATAGGTAGCTCATGTTGGTGGAGGATGGGGGCAGGTTGGGATTTGCTAATGTAGGTTTCATATTTTCCCTTCTAGACTTTTGGGGAACTCAAATCGTGGATTAAGTTTAAGTTAAAAGAGACAATGTCTATGGCAATAGCTAGTTGTTCCCTAATTGTAAGTAGAAAAAATAGTCTTCTTCAACTAATGTTGCTCATTTTGACAGTTCATTGGAAAACTTGAGGGTGGGTGGTCTAACAATCTGTATTGCTACTGATTCTGGTGAATTTTTACATAAGTAAAAGAACATTCCCCCCAAAGTATTAAATGTATGGGGAGAAAATAAGGAACGTAATTATTTCTTTATTAGTGGAAAATGCTAAATTAGGTCCTATAATTTTGCCAATAAATATTTTATTACTCTAGAATCTCTGAAAATCCTCCAAGTTTTGAAAACTTTGCAAACTTAAAAAAATAATCTTATAAATTGGTGTATAATTCAGAAAGGAAATCTTTTACAGTAAGCTTCAGTGTGTAAGAATTACTTTCTTAGTTTCATTTTATTATTTTAATGCTCTTCCAATGCAAAATTTGAGATAAAATCTTAGCTTTAGAAGAACTAAATAAGTTTGTCTGTATTTTAAGAGTTTGTTCCATTTCTGATATGGCACTGATGTACATGTCTCAAATATAACTACTTGGGTAGGAGAAAAAGACAGTTTGTAATCAAAGCAGTGACTTGTGATTAATCCTAGCTGTTATGAAATGTCTGTCAAGCCTTGTCCTCATTCCCCTAACACTGCCATTGTCTTTGTTCAGGTATCTTGCCTGCCTGTTGCCATGGCCTTTCAACTGGTCTTCCTGCCTCACTGACTCCATCCTACTCTCCATAATAACTAGAATTACCTTCCTGAAAGTATTAAACTGATCACATCACCAGTCCAAAGCTGGGAGGGTAAAGCTGAACACCTTAGCTTTTTAGATCCCTGTTTCTTATTTCAGTCCCTTTTCCTGCCTCTTGCTCATCACATCTCTTTTGATTCTGCCACAGAACTTCTTTCTGCTCCTGGAATATGCCAGAAACTTTTACCAGGGTCTCTACCAACCCAAATGGTAATTTTGTACAAATTAAGAAAAGATATCCCTTCTGAAATTCTTTACTGCTATTTGCTTGAGAATTACTTACAGTAAATATTAAAATTTTTAGTGACTGTGCTTCAAATATTTTAAAAGGGCCAGCCAAGTAGCTCAGCAGATTAAAGTGCCTGCAAGCAGGCACAAGGGCTGGGGTTTGATCCCCAGGCCTACCATGCCAGCCCGGCCCCTGGGGTATGCTGAGATGGCAATTGAGACTGGGTGTGGTGGCTTGCACCTGTAATCCCAGCTTTTGGGAGGCTGTAAATAGGTGGATTACTATGAGTCCAATCTAGTAGTGAGACCCTGAACACCTTGTAGACTCTTGACTAAAAAAAAAAATACAAAACAAAACAAAACAAATATTTTAAGGAGTACTTATCTTGTGCAATCCTTCATTGCATCTCTACCTTATTCTACTCTTTGCTTTTGTAAATTTTTTTTTTTTTCATGGAATAGTATTTCCTTTTCTGCTTTGGAAAATTTACATTCTCTGTGTTCAAATTTCGGCTCAAAACTTATTCCTTCAGAACCTATTTTCTGATCTCTAGCTGGAGATAATTGCTATCCTCATAACATTTATTTATTTATTTATTTATTTATTTATTTATTTATTTTAAGAGAGTTACAATGGTTAGTACATTGTGTATTGTTACTGCCAAAGTAGTTTCTCATATTACAAGATATAGGCAAGAAATAATAAATAAACAACATAGGTACAAACCTCTGTTTTTTTTTAAAGTCAACAGAAAATGGAAACATACTTTTTAAAGTTTCTAATACTAGAAGATA